ACATACACCACTATTCTTCAACCAAATCCCAAACCATCAAAGAGGCATCGGTGCCACCCACAGTAACAATAGTTTGATCACCAAACAAGAAACGAGCACAGGCCACCATGCCCGAATAGACTTTGGCCTCGTGGAATTCAGCACGAGGACTTATAGCAAGGATATCTAAAACAGGAAAAAAATACAACATTATAGTTCAGTACTATAACCATAAAACCTTCTTACCTAAATAAACGTATATAACCATCAGCATCGCCAGAAACCAACATATCCTGTGCCGCCGAACGACTACAGGTGGCTATTATAGTATTGCTATTACTGTAATAACGATTACTCCATTGTCCGGCCACTAGGAAGCCCACCGTACAATTACTTGTCAACCATTTGACATCTTTCATCGCTATGGGACTACGTTCGGGACTAAGGGATTGGCATCCCAGAAAGTAAATCAAAATCTATGGTTACTGTCTGTACAAAATTGCCATCCATGCTCCAATCTAAATGGGTGAGTGGTTGGGAACCGCGTATTTTGTTGACCTTTTTGTAGGAGAAACCATCGCGCGAAACACGGAATAAATAAATGCTGCCATTTTGGGAACCCATGGCAATCATATCGCCAACTGGAGAAGAAAAAAAAAAGAGAAATGATTTAAAACGGCTAAGAGTGTAGTCTGTTGAGCGAACTATAGTTTAGTCTATAGTGCAGAATATAGCCTGACTTATAGTCTGAACTATAGTTTAGTCATGTCTATAGTCTAGTCTATAGTGTAGTCAATAGACTAGTCTATAGTCTAGTCTATAGTCTAGTCTATAGTCTAGTCTATAGTCTAGTCTATAGTCTAGTCTATAGTCTAGTCAATAGTCTAGTCTATAGTCTAGTCTATAGTCTAGTCTATAGTCTAGTCTATAGTCTAGTCTATAGTCTAGTCTATAGTCTAGTCTATAGTCTAGTCTATAGTCTAGTCTATAGTCTAGTCTATAGTCTAGTCTATAGTCTGGTCTATAGTCTAGTCTATAGTCTAGTAGCTAGTCTATAGTCTAGTCTATAGTCTAGTCTATAGTCTAGTCTATAGTCTAGTCTATAGTCTAGTCTATAGTCTAGTCTATAGTCTAGTCTATAGTCTAGTCTATAGTCTAGTCTATAGTCTAGTCTATAGTCTAGTCTATAGTCTAGTCTATAGTCTAGTCTATAGTCTAGTCTAGTCTATATAGTCTAGTCTATAGTCTAGTCTATAGTCTAGTCTATAGTCTAGTCTATAGTCTAGTCTATAGTCTAGTCTATAGTCTAGTCTATAGTCTAGTCTATAGTCTAGTCTATAGTCTAGTCTATAGTCTAGTCTATAGTCTAGTCTATAGTCTAGTCTATAGTCTAGTCTATAGTCTAGTCTATAGTCTAGTCTATAGTCTAGTCTATAGTCTAGTCTATAGTCTAGTCTATAGTCTAGTCTATAGTCTAGTCTATAGTCTAGTCTATAGTCTAGTCTATAGTCTAGTCTATAGTCTAGTCTATAGTCTAGTCTATAGTCTAGTCTATAGTCTAGTCTATAGTCTAGTCTATAGTCTAGTCTATAGTCTAGTCTATAGTCTAGTCTATAGTCTAGTCCAGTCTAGACTATAGTCTAGTCCAGCGGTTCCCACCGTTTTTTACTTCGCGGACCCCTTGACGAATTTATTTAATTTCACGGACCCCCATACATATTTTGATATCTTATTGTTATAAATAATTGTTCATCCGAAAATTGTTTTAGTCCTGGTCCATAACCCTATAAATAGTTCCCGTTCATTGAGAATATTTAGTATTTCGGAAATGTTTTCAATTGCATGGTTTTAATATAAAAATGACTTCTAACACGATGTTTAATTTTATGATCGTGAGAGCTTTCATGTTCATTTCTCGTCAAGGGTAGCGAAAAGGGTTTCTTTATCAAGTTATTGCCGACAGTGTGCTTAAAGAGTCATGTTTCCAAATTTTTGCGATTGCATAGGAGTGAGTTGAGTATGTAAGCTAAGTTTTTCGGGAAAAATATGTGAAAGTTAGACTTCTTCGATGTTGTTGCGGAATGCGTTACCCACATAATATAGACCTGAACTCTTTGCGAATGTACTGTGATTTGGATCTTAAATTTGAATTTAAAATACCTACGAATTATTTCACTGCGTGGTTTTGACTATTTTCGCAAAACGCAATGAATTTTCTGATGTTGATTTAATAATATTGGACAACAAAATGAAGTTAAAATCTGTGTATCACGTCGGAATGGAATATTTATATTTAAAATTAACTAGATTAACACTTTTGCTTACAATTTAAAAAAAAATATTATGAAAAGGTCACATTTCTTCATATTCCGGGATACCAGTATCAGTATTTAATTCTAAGGCAAATCATTATCCGTCTGATATAAAAACCAGAGACAGTAATTGTTATTATTTTTATTTTAAAAAATTAAAATTACAAATTTTATTTGGTTTGTATTTCATTTCTCAGAAAATCCAAATTGCTTTTGATTTGAATTTCTTATATTTTCCGTAAAAATTACTGAGAACTTTTTCAAATAAAATCAATAATAAAAAAACACAAATAATTTTTAAACCATAAGGCACAAATAAAAATCAGGCAATGATTTTTATTTTTTGAAATTAATTATAAAACTCATTATGCGATATTTACCTTTAAAACACATTAAAAATGATCGGGTTTAAACAGAGATTAATAGAAAATTGGTAAAATTTCTTTACCACTGATATCATCAACCAATTTGCAGAAATTAGATTCGAAAATTGGAAAATTAATATTTTTTAGGTGATTTTATTCTTTGCTTTGAAAAATAAAAATCATTGATTGATTTCTATTTTTGTTTGAATAAATAAAAATTACTGAATGAGTATTAGTTGTGTTTTGTTGCTATCAATGAGTGTTAACGCTTAAAGTTAGCAACAAAACGAACATTACCTGACTTGGCATCACTCCACAGAAGAAATCTGCTAAATCTTGAAATTATTTACATTTTCTTAAAAAAGGTTTTTTAATTTGATATTTTTTTTGATTTAAATTTTATTTTAAAATATTTTTTTATTGTTTGACATAAACACATTAATATTTGTATTTTTATTTTTGAATTGGTAGCACTTTTATCGACGTTAAAATTAACTTGTATAATTTTACACGTTAACTCCTAACGTTTATAAATTTTAAATTTATATGAAATTGCCTTTGAACGTTAGCAACAAAACACAACTTATTATTAAAAACAACATAAATATTTTTTTATTGAAACAAATAGAATAAAAATCAAAAATAATTTTTATTTTCAATTTTTATTATAAAAATCAAAAAAAAAAAGTTTATTGAAGAAATCGATTAAAAAAGGTCTGGGAAATATTTTGGTACATTCAAAACATTTCTTATGATTCTTTCATACTGATTTTTTTAAGCAAAAATTTCATAGATAATAATTATTTTCTGTCTCTGATAAAAACATTTATTTCGATACATATACATTTATAAAAATTACAAATCACGTACTACTTTACTTTATAAAAGTAAAACAATAAATTTGTAGGGTCTAGCTTCATCCTGATAAACGACCGAAACAATAAAATTCAAAAAGTCACCAACAAATCTGGGATTATTGAATAAAAATTGTGTATTTTAGTATTTACGAAAAAATTGGAGATATTTTTAATATTTTCTAACATATAGAGAATATTTTTTATTCATGATTTTTTTCGTTCGTCTTCGCGGACCCCCTAGGATTTTGCTACGGACCACTAGGGGTCCGCGGACCCCCTTTTGGGAACCGTTGGTCTAGTCTATAGCATAGTCTATAGTCTTGTCTAGTATATAGTCTAGTCTATACTCCAGAGTCTCCATAGTCTAATTTGGACTATAATCAAGTCCACTTTAAGTTTATCCCACTCACCCTGATTAAAGGCCACACAATTAATAGGCGAACCACACACTCTCAGCGTCAGCATCACCGCGCCATTCTCACAATTAATAACTAACAAATGACCCTCAGTGCTGCCAGCAGCCAGGGCCGTACCAAAGGGATGAAATGCCAAAGAGACACATTCATAGCCCGTCTGTATGGTCCATATAAGTTTACTCTTGCGCCACAGAGCAATATGTTTATCATGACCCGCGGTAGCATATAAATCATCCTCGGGATGGGCAGCCAAACCCCACAGCTGGCGGCCATGACCAAAAACAACTTGTGTAAAACGTCTTTGGAGAGAACCCTCCAAAATGTTATTGCGGGTGGTGCCCACATAGATATTGCCATCATTGCGCCCAGGACGTTGGGGATATATAGTGCGTACTCCGCCAGCGGATTCGGGTAGCTAAAAGAAAATATTAAAGCAGAGGCTTTTAAAACTTCAAACTGTTTCTACCTTAGTATCTGCTATTTTCTTATAATTCTGCAAAGAATCCCAGGCAGCTATCTTTCTATCCTTCTCACCACCCGACAGCAAAGTGCCCTCGCCCAGCATTATCAGACAGCCAATACCCTTGGTATGAGCCTCAAATTCGGTGCGCACAAAATAGGCACCATCCGAGTCCACCGAGTAGATGGTAATAAAACCATCCGAGTCTGCTGTTATAACATCACCATCCGGTTCAAATTGTACACTAGTGACATGAGATCGTGAGGGCTGCTTAACAATATCGGTACGTTCAAAGAAACCATCTTTACGACGATGCCAGAAGGCCAAATGACCGCGACCATGAGTAATTATAAGATTATCATCGAGAGGATGAAAGGCAGCACCAGAAAGGCCCTCTTGTAAGGTCTAGAAAGGTAGAAATAATACAGAAATTTAGGGAAATGAAGAGTTAAACTTTTTCACTTAAACCTACCGCCACTTTGCCCAATAGATGTCCCCATTGCCACTGCCATACCGAGAGTATACTTTCACGCCCACTGTCTACTGCCAAAATATAACTGCCTCCATTCTGTTTAGGAAATTTGGAGTTAATTTCTTTGGTTTCTAAAATGTGTGGTTTGATACTTACTAATTGCGAAAAGGCTACTGCTGTTACTCCCGTATCTAACTCTCCCATTCCGAAAACATATAAAGTTTGCAAAGATTCTGTACTCCATATACGTACATGAGCTTGCGATTTACGATCTCGACCGGCTTTTTGACCCGATGCCACCAGTTCACGGGAAGGATGAACGTCCATGCTGAGAAATAAGAGAAAGAAAATTTCAATATTTTTAATTTTTTTTAATTAGTTTTAGCACTTACCACATAATATCTTCTGTATGTCCGGTATAATGGCGCTGGGCATCTTCGTCACGATCTAGTAAAACTGCCACTGCGGCCACATAATATAAAAGTTCGCCTGAAGGTAAAACCCATAAATTGCGACGGGCATCTATGCCGCGATAGCCATGACTAGAAAAAATTAAGAGATTTTAATTAAAACTGAGCTACAGTGCGTATGATTGATATTAATTATAAGTTATTTTAAATTTTTGCTTATAATTTTGTTAAATTCTGGCGGATTTTGAAAATTTAAAATGATTTGTGTATAAAACACTTTAGGTTTTTGGAAAAAATATTTTAAAAAATTTGAAAAATTTTCTTTAGTCCAAAAAAGTTCGCTCAAAATAGGAAAAATATAAAATTTAATTTTTGTCTTTATAAAATGATTTCATTTTAAGAAATTTTAGATTTGTACTATAATAAATAATTTTGTCATGTTGCCATTTCTAAACTTTTTTCTTGGAATTTCTCAAAAATTCTAAAGATTATTTAAATTTTCTTTAATTTGACTACAGTACGTATGATTGATATTAATTATGACTTATTTTACAATTTTCCCTATAACTTGGTTAATTTTTAAGCGATTTTGAAAATTTTAATTAAATTCTACTCAAAACACTTTAATATTTCAGAAAATGTAAAACAAATATTTTAAAAAATTTTCTGTTACGTGAAAAAAATTATTTAAAAAAAATTTTTCTAAACAAAATTAACTACTATTACTTACACCCACTGTAATTGTAGTTTCTTATCTGGTGGTGTATTATCAGCTGGTGCATGATGTGCTGGTGGATAGAATGTTCTTCGTAGACCCCTTATAGTCACTTTGGTGGGATCCTCTTTCATCATATCCAACATGGTGTATTCACCATTTGTGCGTAATATTTCACTTTCAGGAGCATATAATATGCGAGGACGACTTTTACTGCGTGGTCTAGCACCACGTAAAGGAACCTTTGGAAGATCTTCTGTTGGTAAAATAGGAGCGGCCGCCATTACCGAGGGCCTGGACCTTGAACGTCTTATAGGAGAGCCGGCAATTAGAGCAGTACCAGTGGCCAAATAAAAAGTATCCACATCGGCAAATTCATTGCGCAATTGGGAGAAACTGCGTACCTAAAAATATTTAATTAATTAAATAAAATTAAATTGTTGTTAATTTATTTTTTGTAATTATCTTCTCATTCGCCAGTTTACCTCTTGTCCTGTGCCCGTATACATTTTCTTGGCGCCATTAATTTTCAGTACTTGACCCAAATCTTCCAGTACTTCTTCAAATGGCTGAGAAGTGCGTAGATTGAGTAAAACACGACACTGTTGTTGGTAAAAAAGCAACATTCAACCAAAAGTCACGTTTTTTTTTTTGAAAAATGCCGCATTTCGAAAAGCAAAAAACCATGAAAAGAAAAGAAATCAAACAAAACAATACAAATTATAATTTTTTCTTGAAAATTATACTTATTATTATTGTTATTATATTATGGCAGACAGTCAGGGAAATCACGTGCCATAATAAATGAAATATTTGACGTTTATTACACACAAGTTTGATGCCTCTAAAAAGAAGCTACTGACTACTTACAAACAAACCTAACAAAATGTATCGCTGAATATTTGGTTCCTTTATATAAGTGTATGTAAGTATAATACTTCTTACTTTAACAGTTTGTTTGTGCTTCATTACTGTAATTGTAATTTATTTATGAGGCCAAGGAGACGTGTCAGTTCTAGCGACTAAATCCTTACTGAGTAAATATTTCAATATATAAATTAGCTTAGAGGGATGGGAAAAAAATATATAAATGCAGCCAGGATATTATACGAATTTCCCTGTTAAAATAAATCTAATATCAACAAAATTGTAACGGAAATTAAAATGGATGATAAAGTGTTGAGCCTTATAAAATAAAGTGATGAAAATATAGATAATTTTTAAACGCCTTGATTTGGTACTTTTATCAAAATTTACTCAAACAGGGTTTATAGCAAAATAAGTGTTTTTTTAAAGGTTTTTCCATACTATATGTGTATGTATATACCACTAGACTATAGACGAGACTATAGACTAGACAATACACTATAGACTAAACAATAGACTAAACTATAGACTACATGATAGACTAGATTATAGACAAGACTATAGACTAGACAATGGACCTGACTATAGACTAGACTATAGACAAGATTATAGACTAGACTATAGACTAGACAATAGACTAGACTATAGAGTAGACAATAGACAAGACTATAGACTAGACTATAGACTAGACTATAGAGTAGACTATAGACTAGACTATAGACTAGACTATAGACTAGACTATAGACTAGACTATAGACTAGACTATAGACTATAGACTAGACTAGACTATAGACTAGACTATAGACTAGACTATAGACTAGACTATAGACTAGACTATAGACTAGGACTATAGACTAGACTATAGACTAGACTATAGACTAGACTATAGACTAGACTATAGACTAGACAATGGACAAGACTATAGGCCAGACTATAGACTAGCCTATAGACTAGAATGTAGACTCGAATATATACTAGACAGTAGACTAGACTATAGAATAGACTATAGACTAGACTATAGACTAGACTATATAGACTACACTATAGACTAGACTATATAGACTAGACTATAGACTAGACTAGACTATAGACTAGATTATAGACTAGACTATAGACTAGACTATAGACTAGACTACATACTAGACTATAGACTAGACTATATACTAGACTATAGATTAGACTATAGACTAGACAATGGACCTGACTATAGACTAGACAATGGACCTGACTATAGACTATACTATAGACAAGACTATAGACTAGGCTATAGACTAGACTATAGACTAGTCTATAGACTAAACTGGACTATAGACTAGACTATAGACTAGACTATAGACTAGACTATAGACTAGACTAGACTAGACTATAGACTAGACTATAGACTAGACTATAGACTAGACTATAGACTAGACTATAGACTAGACTATAGACTAGACTATAGACTAGACTATAGACTAGACTATAGACTAGACTATAGACTAGACTATAGACTAGACTATAGACTAGACTATAGACTAGACTATAGACTAGACTATAGACTAGACTATAGACTAGACTATAGACTAGACTATAGACTAGACTATAGACTAGACTATAGACTAGACTATAGACTAGACTATAGACTAGACTAGACTATAGACTAGACTATAGACTAGACTATAGACTAGACTATAGACTAGACTATAGACTAGACTATAGACTAGACTATAGACTAGACTATAGACTAGACTATAGACTAGACTATAGACTAGACTATAGACTAGACTATAGACTAGACTATAGACTAGACTATAGACTAGACTATAGACTAGACTATAGACTAGACTATAGACTAGACTATAGACTAGACTATAGACTAGACTATAGACTAGACTATAGACTAGACTATAGACTAGACTATAGACTAGACTATAGACTAGACTATAGACTAGACTATAGACTAGACTATAGACTAGACTATAGACTAGACTATAGACTAGACTATAGACTAGACTATAGACTAGACTATAGACTAGACTATAGACTAGACTATAGACTAGACTATAGACTAGACTATAGACTAGACTATAGACTAGACTATAGACTAGACTATAGACTAGACTATAGACTAGACTATAGACTAGACTATAGACTAGACTATAGACTAGACTATAGACTAGACTATAGACTAGACTATAGACTAGACTATAGACTAGACTATAGACTAGACTAGACTATAGACTAAACTAGACTATAGACTAGACTACAGACTTGACAATAGACTAGACTGTAGCCTAGACTATAGACTAGACTATAGACTAAACTATAGACTAGACTATAGACTAGACTATAGACTAGACTATAGACTAGACTATAGACCAGACTATAGACTAGACTATAGACTAGACTATAGACTAGACTATAGACCAGACTATAGACTAGACTATAGACTAGACTATAGACCAGAGATATAGACTAGACATAGACTAGACTATAGACTAGACTATAGACTAGACATAGACTAGACTATAGACTAGACTATAGACTAGACTATAGACTAGACTATAGACTAGACTATAGACTAGACTATAGACTAGACTATAGACTAGACTATAGACTAGACTATAGACTAGACTATAGACTAGACTATAGACTAGACTATAGACTAGACTATAGACTAGACTATAGACTATAGACTATAGACTAGACATAGACTAGACTATAGACTAGACTATAGACTAGACTATAGACTAGACTATAGACTAGACTATAGACTAGACTATAGACTAGACTATAGACTAGACTATAGACTAGACTATAGACTAGACTATAGACTAGACTATAGACTAGACTATAGACTAGACTATAGACTAGACTATAGACTAGACTATAGACTAGACTATAGACTAGACTATAGACTAGACTATAGACTAGACTATAGACTAGACTATAGACTAGACTATAGACTAGACTATAGACTAGACTATAGACTAGACTATAGGCTAGTCTATAGACTAGACTATAGACTAGACTATAGACTAGACTATAGACTAGACTATAGACTAGACTATAGACTAGACTATAGACTAGACTATAGACTAGACTATAGACTAGACTAGACTATAGACTAGACTATAGACTAGACTATAGACTAGACTATAGACTAGACTATAGACTGGACTATAGACTAGACTATAGACTAGACTATAGACTAGACTATAGACTAGACTATAGACTAGACTATAGACTAGACTATAGACTAGACATAGACTAGACTATAGACTAGACTATAGACTAGACTATAGACTAGACTATAGACTAGACTATAGACTAGACTATAGACTAGACTATAGACTAGACTATAGACTAGACTATAGACTAGACTATAGACTAGACTATAGACTAGACTATAGACTAGACTATAGACTAGACTATAGACTAGACTATAGACTAGACTATAGACTAGACTATAGACTAGACTATAGACTAGACTATAGACTAGACTATAGACTAGACTATAGACTAGACTATAGACTAGACTATAGACTAGACTATAGACTAGACTATAGACTAGACTATAGACTAGACTATAGACTAGACTATAGACTACTAGACTATAGACTACGAGACTATAGACTAGACTATAGACTAGACTATAGACTAGACTATAGACTAGACTATAGACTAGACTATAGACTAGACTATAGACTAGACTATAGACTAGACTATAGACTAGACTATAGACTAGACTATAGACTAGACTATAGACTAGACTATAGACTAGACTATAGAGTAGACTATAGACTAGACTATAGACTAGACTATAGAGTAGACTATAGACTAGACTATAGACTAGACTATAGACTAGACTATAGACTAGACTATAGACTAGACTATAGACCTAGACTATAGACTAGACTATAGACTAGACTATAGACTAGACTATAGACTAGCTATAGACTAGACTATAGACTAGACTATAGACTAGACTATAGACTAGACTATAGACTAGACTATATACTATAGACTAGACTCTGGACTAGACTTTGGACTAGTCTATAGACTAGACTCTGGACTAGACTATAGAATAGGCTCTGGACTAGCCTATAGATTAACTATAGACTAAACTGTAGAATAGACTATAGACTAGACTATTTTTGTAATGTTTAAAAGCAATTTTCCTCCTAACCTCATTTTATTAACTAAATTTGGGGGTCACTTTAAGCCCAAACCAACCAAGCGACCACTAATAATACTTTAATTTTCCACATCACTTAAATGTACACAATAACAGCAACAATAACAAGAGCATCAACACAAATACAAACCTTTTTAAAAGATCCTGCTCTAAACTCATCCCGTAATAAGAGCTTTTTTTATTACAACAAATATTTAAAGTATTACTCAACTGTAACAAAAGCAACAATAATAACATTAGTTATTAACTCATTCTCTTTTCAAGTTGGCCATTTTAATATGAAAGTGTGTGTGTTTTTTTTCATTATAACAGTGTTTAAGTGTAAGTATTTATGGTTATTATAATTATGATGTCTCTGACCCAAATATTTGTACATATATGTATGTATGTGATTGTGAGTAAGAGCAAGTGTATTTGTATAAAATTTATAGTTCTTTGTTGTTCAAGAGTTGCTCTTGTATTTTAAGTACACAAAGGGTCTGGATTTAACACACAAACATAATGAGTTTGATTTTTACTCTGGCTCTCGGTTTTATAAGTGTTTGTAGCTTTATGCGT